CAGCCCAACCTTTGAGCCCTGATGAGGACCTGACATTTACCTCCATGAACATGAACCTATGGTCATCACCTATGGGCCAAGGTAATCCAGATCATTTTGAAACCCAGTTCTGCTGTCTGACATAATCACTCTCCCCCCGAGATTTGATAAGCATGCTTTATTTGGCCTAATCCAAGTCCTTGAAAAAACACATCAGACTGAGCAAGACAGCAGGGAGGACCATGCCCGGAGCAGGGCACTAGTCTTCCCTCTAAGCTGCCATTGATCCACTTATCTGTTCTCCACCACCTGCTGTCCAGGCAGCCAGGGATTCCCCTAGTGTATCACAATTTGATCCCGACTGTAGCTTGCCATAAAAGTACTTTGGGAGGCTGGGCATGGTGGCTCACGCTGTAATCCCAGCACTTTGGGAGGCCGAGGTGGGCGGATCACCTGAGGTCAGGAGTTCAAGACCAGCCTGGCCAACATAGTAAAATCCCGTCTCTACTGAAAATACAAAAATTAGCTGGGCGTGGTGGTGCCTGTAGTCGCAGCTACTTGGGAGGCTGAGCCAGGAGAATCACTTGAACCCAGGAGTCAGAGGTTGCAGTGAGTCGAGATTGCGCCACTGCACTCCAGCCTGGGCGACACAGCGAGACTCTGTCTCAAAAACAAAAAAAGTCACTTGGCAGATGTTCCAATTGCCTTTTTGAAATCAAGATTCTCAAGACTTCAACAGACCCCTGATCTATTGCAATTTTGGTTCTCCCAAAGTAAGAGAAATGAGAGATTAGCCTGACTTCTTTTAAGTAAACCTAGGCTTGGTCCTGGTGATCACTACGCTTTATTCTTCTTTAAATTTTTTTTTTCCTAGCTAGGATTTGAACTATATTCTTCTTTTTAAAATGATATATACCATTCATTTTCTGCTGTCTTTGTTAATGCTGTTAAACTGGAAGAATTTTCAGTGATCAGTGAAAAGTCTCAGTTAGAAATTATGAAATTAACACAGGCTTCTTGCCTACTTGGTTGTTGGCTGAAAACAGTTTAAAACACTTAAGTGAAAACTTTTCTCTATCACAGAAAATTTGGTTTCTGAGTGAATGAAGGTTTTCTATAGGAAGATAAATGTTCAGCTTTCTCTTCTGACTCATTATAATTGTGGAATGGTAAAATTCAAGTAATTGCTGTTTTGTAATATTGAGTCAAACATTAACTTTTAAAAAATATAACAATACTGTGTCTTAATAAAAGTTTAACTGTATATTTTTAAGACCTAGAAAATAAGCTTGGCTGATCATGATTTTCAAAGTTTTATAAGATTAATGAAAATACAAAAAGCCAGTACAAGAGGAAGCATAATGAAATCCAGCAGGAATAATTTGTAATTAGAAAACCCCATGCAATTCTTCAGCCAGGGATAATGGTGATCCATCTTAAAAACACATGTGTCCCATGCTGGGCACTGATGAGCCTAATCAGACACACTCCACTGACATTTTTCACAATACCAAGGGGTCCTTAATTGCTGGGGGGTGCAGGCAGGCAAGCTTCTCGCTGCTCCTCTCAGGAGATCATAATGATTAAGAGCAGGCCTGCAGCCAAACAGCCAGGGGAGGCATCCCAGCCCTCCTCCAACTCAACTGTGACTTTAGGCAAGTTACTTACCCGCTCTATGCCTCAGTTTCCTCGTTTTCTTTTTTTTTCTTTTGAAACAGAGTCTTGCTCTGTCACCCAGGCTGGAGCGCAGTGATGCAATCATGGCTCACTGCAGCCTCAACCCCTAGGGCTCAAGCGATCCTCCCACCTCAGCCTCCTGACTAGCTGGGACAGCGGGCGTGTACCACCATGCCCAGTTATCTTTTTTTATTTTTTTGTTGAGACAAGGTCTCCTGAAGTTTCCTGGGCTGGTCTCAAACTCCTGGCCTCAAGTGATCCTCCTGCCTTGGCCTCCCAAAATGTTGGGATTACAGGGGTGAACCACAGTACCTCATCTTTAAAATTATGGCTGGCCAGATGTGGTGGCTCGTGCCTGTAATCCCAGCACTTGGGAGGCTAAGGCAGGAGGATCACCTGAGATCAGGAGTTTGAGACCAGCCTGACCAACATGGCGAAACCCTATCTCTACTAAAAATACAAAAATTAGCCGGGCATGGTGATGCACGCCTGTGATCCCAGCTACTCAGGAGGCTGAGGCAGGAGAATCGCTTGAACCCTGGGAGGCGGAGGTTGCTGTGAGCCAAGATTGCACCACTGCCTGGGTGACAGAGCAAGACTCCATTAAAAAAAAAAAAATCAGGACTGAGAATCATCACCTTTCAGGGTGATGGTTGTGAGGACTGATTCAGCCACTATGTGAAGTCGGCCTGACCCACAGTGTGTCTCTCCTACTCCCCAGTTGCTACTGGGGTGCTCAGGGACACAGGACAATACACTTCCCTCCCCCCATGCCACTGCCTGTCTTCCTCGTTAGGGACACTCAGCCCTGCCAGAAGGTCCAGCCCATGTGGAAGGGCATCATGCCCACAGTGGCCGTACCCAGAGGCCCTCTTCCCCTCAACACCCCTTGGTCCCCCAACCCTGGGCCACAAGCTGGCTCTGGGCCTGCTGGTGATCTGCCTTGGCTCCAGCACGGGTGGCTTGGCTCCAGCAAGAGCTTAAAAGTTCTTCATTGTGTTTTCTGCTTCAGTGTAACTACCTGGGAATTGGAAGAAGAGGGAAGAATAAATACAATGTTCCCCCACTTCTACCTTCCCTGCCTCTCCCCATGGCTGGGTAAAAGGCTGTCTTGGGCCCCAGGAAAGCTCCCCCCAGAGGTCCCCTGCTCGGTGTCCCGTGGGATGGGAGTCACCTGCTACACCTCCACCATTCCACCGTCTCCCTCTTTTTGTGTCCTTTCCTGGCTCAGCCTCTTCTGCCTGTCAAGTTCAACAGCTCTTCTCAGCACTTGCCATGTGCCTGGGCAGAGCACTGGGAGCACAGAGATGATTCGGGCAAGGGCTCTGCCCTCCAAGTGCTCATTGCACAGCACTGAGAATATAGACTGCAGCATATACAGCCTGAACCAGACTCTCTTCAGTAATCTTGGATCAATTACTTAACCTGAGTGTCTACCTCTGTATTCAAAACTTGTAGTCCCAGCTACCTGGGAGGCTGAGGGTCAAGGTACCCACATTTCAGGACCATTGTGAGAATTAAACATAATCCTGTATGCAAAGCTCTCAACTCAGTGCACTGCACACAGTGGGTGCTCAATCGCATCTGCCTGCCTTCCCTCCCTCCCTCTTTCACCTCTTTCCCTCTTTCCTTTTAGCCAGTTGTCTCTTCCAGAGAAGAAGGTCTGAAGATCTCAACAGGGTATATGGGCAGAGGTGGAGCCCTGCCCCTAGCAGGGCTGGGGCAGTGTCAGATGGGCTTGTGTGGGGCCAAGCCCATGCTGGGCAGTCGGGGGTGATGACCAACCGGGGTTCTGCCTGCCAGATGCTTTCTTTCAGAAGTAGACTCAGTCCTCTGACCTCCTTTCCTCTCTCCCAGTGGCTAATTAGTGCTGATTGTGGGCTCCTTTTTAGCCTTTCCTTTTCTGAACTTCCAACTGGCTTCTTTCTCCCTTCCCCAGGGCAGGGATGGGGACACACTGGCAGGGCAAAGCTAAGGCCCCAACCACAGTCAGTCCTTGTGCTAAGGACAGGGTGAGAGCTGCTTATCCTGGCTGAGCTGTGGGGGCTGCTGAGACCCAGAGTTTGGGGTTGCCCCAAGGGAATTTCTTGCCTACACAACTTGCTTTTCACCCATCTGTTCTGAGGTTCGTGTCCTATGTCCAGGAATATGTGGGACAGCCAATAATCAATGCACTGGCCAGCCTTCAAGGTCTTCCTGCCCACTCACAGCCTTCCAGTGAGTGACGAACTCATACAGATCCCCAGGGATCTCTATTATACCCGTATGGGCTTGGAAGAAGTTATCCCAACGCCACCTGGGACTAAATGCTTTTTCTATCATTCTGAAACGCAGTCAGGGAAATCCAGCAACCTAGAACCAGATCCACTGGGGGAAGCCAGGAATAGAACATCCTGGTAAACAGCCAACATGATGCTGGGAAGGGAGAAGTTCCGTGGTGGCAGAAGCCCCCAGTTCTGGAGGTACAGGCTGGTGGTAATAGATGATCTGTCTGCAGAGTGGAATCTCTCGGGGCTCCATCATGAACTCGGAGCTCCAGTGCTGCAGTGGCAGGAAATTAATTGACAGTCATTCATATGAGTCCCAGGACCAAGGGTTAGCAGCAAGGGGGTTGAGACCCAACATGGGACCCAGACATCTTCAGTCACTAGGAAAGGACTGCAAGTGCCATGAAATGGAGATGCTCCAGCAGGACAGAGAGAAGAACTGCAGCAGCTGAAGCTAGGCAGGGCTGTCACTTCCAAAGCAGCACAGATCAATGGAAATGGGAGGCCTGTCAGAGCAATGTCTTATAGGAGCTCTGAGCAGAAGCAGAAAAGGAAAGAGACTAAGCGGGGAGGGGCAAAGGAGGCATCAGGATGGGTTTCTGGAAAAAGAGTGCCACTACGGAGGTCAGAAAAGCTGGCATCAAAGGTTCGAGAGGTGAACTGGAGGTGGGATCACCAAAGGTTCTGGAGGTGAGCTCCAGGGCCCGCCCTGTGGACAGCTCTACATTCTAGGTGAGTGCTGGGCAGAGGGTGATTCTGGAATTACTCAGTGCCAAGGTGTCCTCCATGTGCCAGCTCCAGCAAGCGGGAGGCTGCCACATGTTCTCATCACGCCTTCTCACCTGGAGCCAGAGCCTGCTGCCTGATGGTCCCTCTGTTAATGGCTTCCAGATGTGTCCTTGGGCCCCTGGAGGGAGACTTCCTGGAGGACACACCCCCTCCTGCCCAAGCCTCACCCCTCTGATCACCTTCAGTCACAAAGCCTGGTGCAGGCCATGGTGCACTAGTGCAATATCACATTGCAGATGAGAGCGGCATGGAAGGTCAGACTGCCCGCTTCTGTGATTGGTTACTGACCTCTGAGCCCCTCATCACTGTTATTTCTGGCTCCTAGGTATCTTCAGTGCATAGGACCCAGCTGGTGACATGAAAGTTGTCCATTGGAGTACGATGGCTGAGTGGGCCACGGGCAGTGGCTCATACCTGTCATCCTAGCACTTTGGGAGGCCAGGTGGAAAGACTGCTTGAAACCAGGAGTTCAGGACCAGCCTGGGCAACATGGTGAGACTCTGTCTCTACAAAAAAAAATTAAATATTAGTCAGGCATAGTGACATGTGCCTGTAGTCCCGGCTACTTGGGAGGCTAAAGCAGGAGGATCGCTTGAGCCCAGGAGTTCAAGGCTGCAGTGAGCTATGACTGCACCCCTGCACTCAAGTCTTAAAGACAGAGAAAGACCCTGTCTCAAACAAGCAAGCAAACAAACAGACAACAACAACAAAAAGATGGCCAGGTATCCTTATCTCTTTGGGGAGACAGATTGGCCATCCTTGTGAGACTAATGTGTCTGTGCCTGTTGGTTTCTGATTGTGGGCCTGTTTCTTTCTCTATCTCTGTAACTCGGTTTTTGTAATGACTTGATTCTATTTCTGAAGCTACGTGTCCATGTGTTTCTCTGTGTATTTCACAGCAAAGCTTTCCTTAACTATAACCACAAATTCCATCAGTGCTTATTGTCTAATAAATGGAAGTCCAATATTGCCCTTCCTGCTTCACATCCCTAAGGCGTAAAATTTTCATTCCAGAGTTATTTCTAGACTAGATGGGGGAATCTGATTCATGTTCTGCTGGGGATAACTTGTACCCAAGAAGGAGGGAGGCTTGTAACTGATGAAGTGCAAATAGCAGGGGTGCCAGAAATCACTCCCGTATGGCTTGGAGCAGGCCCCAAGGCTCAGACACTTTGTAGTCACCAGGTCCATCTCCCAGTATTCTCCTGGTCCAGGCTAATGTGTAAGGGAGGGTGTGCTCCTGGATCTGAGTTTTACCAGCCACCAGCTTCATTCATCACCATCCATGCTACCATCACCATTATCACCCCCACTCTCCCACCACCACCACCACCACTATTACCATCACCATTACTAACACTACAACTATTACACCACAATCTCTGTCACCATCAACACCTCTGTTCCGTTACTAATATCAGAGATTTGTAGTTGCTTTTCAATAGCTATTTCTTCTTCCTCTTCAGTAATAAGGACCATAACTTTTTGCTGGACACATTATCTTACTTAGCCTCTTAAAGCTAGTTAGGTGTGCTTATGTAAGTGAAAGTGTTGAATGAAAGTATAGAGAGTGCCAACGAAGGGAAGGGGGTACCCTTATTTATAGCTTTCCTCCATCTGCCATGGAGGAAAGGCTGGTGCTCTAGCAGCCATTTGGACCATGGCAATGAGGACTATCAGGAAGGCAGAGTGGGAGGCTAGAAGGATGTGAGGTCCTCATGACTTTGGAGAGACCATTCAGACTCTGGGCTACTATATCTGGACTTTCTTTCATGAGAGAAAAAGAAACCGAACTTCTATTTCTCTATCATTTAAGAAATTCATTTGGTTATCCTGACACATATAGTTGAAACTAATCCTAATTAATATATATCATCATCACCACATATTATTTTGCATTTAATAGTCCAGGCTAATGATCTATATATGGGGGAGGGGGAAACAATGGAATTTGGGGAATGTGGGAAGTGGCCAGTCTGATGCAGACAGTGACAAGACGGAAAAAGACATTCAGGACCACGGACAGATCCAGGACTGCCAGTTGTGAGGCAACAGGGCAGAAAGTGAGAAGTGGTTGGTGGTGCTTGTTGTTGTCCTCAAGATAAGTTCTGGGCCAGACACCATGCTAGGAACTGGGATGAATACTAAGACTACTTTCCACAAAGTCCACATTTGGCTCCCAGGACCAGAGCAAACAGATCGATATGGGAAGTCTTCCTAGAGCAGGGATTGAGAAGCCAGCTGAGGGGTGGAACCAGAAGACTGTGTGACAGAATGGGCAGAACGCTAAAGAATAAGGGACATCTGTGGGTGGGGAAAGGGCTTAATGTTGAAAGACGGTGAGTGGTCACGTGGTCTGACAGTGAAAGGAGAGGGTACCACTGGGTGGGAGTTAAGGTGTTTTCAGGACTCTTCTGTTCCTTGGATTCTACATCAGTGGTTCGTTTCTGGCCCTGGGGTTCCATGATGCTGTGACTGTCAGGGCATATTGAATCTATGACCAAGATCGTACAATGATGAGGTTCTGCATCAGTTATCTACTGCTGTGTAACAAACCACCCCAAAACTTAGTGGTTTAAAACAACCACCATTTTATTTGTTCACAATTCTGTGAGTCAGAAATTTGGGCTCAGGTCAGCTGAGTAGTTCTGTTGGTCTCATCTGGGGTCACTCAGGTGGCTGGAGGCAGGTGGAAGACCATCAGGGAGCTGGTTGGTCTTCAGCTGGTATGGTTTATTTCTGGTCTCTTCCTCTAAAAGGCATGCTTGTGTTTCTACACATGGCAGTTTCAGGGGAGCAAGAAGAGGTGAATCCCAATGCACAAGTACTTATTAAGACTCTGCTTGCATCACATTTGCTGATGTCTCATTAACCAGAGGCAGAGGAAGTCACACGGCCAACCCAAAGTCAGTGTGGGGAGGAACAACATAAAAGTATGGACTCAGATAGGCAGATTTCATTTTGGACCATCAATACAACAATCTACCACAAGCTCTAAGTGTCTCATTCACCACCACCCATACTACCAACACCATAAGTCTTTGTTCTGATTCAAAGGGACAACAGTTCTATGGCTCTCTGAGTCTGTGGTTCTTAGCAGTCAATGTTTTGATTCCAAGATTCTGTGATTCTAGAAGTAGAAGGCTCAGTACATTTGAGGAAGAGCATGAGGACCCAAGAGGAGGCTAAAGAAGTTGGGCAAACTAAGGTCACCCCTAGAGAACCAGCTGCCACTCCTATGCTCATCCCTCAGGTCCCAACTTCCTGCCTGGATCAGGGAAGTGGCAAGAACACTGAGTAAGGAATTAGAAAACCTAGATTATAGGCCCTGTTCCATCATTAATCTGGGATGACCCCAAGCACAGCTCTTAACCTTCCAGTGTTCTCATATAGCCAACAGAGATATCAATCCCTGTCTTCTGAATAATGCAGAACAGTGGCAAAGCCAGGAGAACTGGGCCCACTAACTTCCATTATCAGGAGCCTGGGCCTGGGCACAGTTGAGGAAGAGGGTTTTGTTCCCACCTCATTAAACTGCATCCACAGCAGCAGAGCCCTTGGGATTTAAGAGAACCAAGACAGGTTATTGCCCTTGGTCTGTCCCAACCTCTACTGGCAAAAACAAGAAATAACGAAAGGGGACTGGGTGCAGTAGCTGAGTAGTTCTGTTGGTCTCATCTGGGGTCACCTGAGGTCAGGAGTTTGAGACCAGCCTGACCAACATGGAGAAACCCTGTCTTTACTAAAAATACAAAATTGGCCGGGCGTGGTGGCACATGCCTATAATCCCAGCTACTAGGGAGGCTGAGGCAGGAGAATCGCTTGAACCTGGGAGGCAGAGGTTGCAGTGAGCCGAGATCGTGCCACTGCACTACAGCCTGGGGAACAAGAGTGAATCTCCATCTCAAAAAACAAAAAAAAAGAAAAAGAAATAACGAAAGGGGAGGGGAGGGGAGGGGAGAGGAGGGAAGGCACCCAACTCTGCTCCTTTCCCTTCCCTGTCTCCCCTACCCACTCCTGTCCCTGACTCAACAGAGTGGAATCCCAGGGGCCAGACCCTAGCTGGCCTTTAGCCTCAGTCAGCTCTGCTCTTTAGCCTTTCCTTGAAGAGGAGTGCAGAAACAGAAGCTTCATTAGGGAAGGAGACCTAGGCCAGCACAGCAAATCATAACATTACACAGCCAAGGGGACCAATGACAACCCAATGGCAGAACCACCTTGCAGCACAGATGAGGAAACACAAGCCCAGGGAGGCACAGGGACCCACCTGCCCATAGCCACACAGCCAGCCAACAGCAAAGACCAAAAGTCAAGTGGGATCTCTCTCCTTTTCTAAATGTCCATTTCCCATTCTAAACTGGGATAATAAACCCAGCCTGGGCACCACTTAGAAACTGTAAAGCAAGGTACAGATGTAGTAAGGAGTCATCTTTTCCAATTGTCTGGGAGTTGGGGGTTGGGGGGAAGACTGAGGTGGGAGCAAGAACATTTAGGACTTTTGGAGGACGCATCCAGCTTATTTATTCCAGCCTTTCCCCAGAGGCCCAGGCCACTGAATGGAGGAGGAGGGTATTAAATAGCAGAGAGTTATTTAAAAGCCAGTTGCCTGCCCCTCAGAAGCAGCACGGGCCTCTTCTGACTCAATGGAGAAAATGAATCTTGGGCCTATGGATTTTCCTGTGTTTCGCAGCAGGGGGGAGGGGAGGGGGAGTGAGAAATGGGAATGGCAAGGCCCACAGTGAAGTTTCCTATCCCTGATGGCAAGGAAGTCAAGCAAGAAGAGAGAAGCTGGGGCCTCCCCAACTACTACCTCATGGCTGAGTTCATCACATCAGGCTGCCTGCTGCTCCTCCATTTGCCTTGGAGGAGGAGGAAACAGAGGGACAGCGAGGCAGCAGGAGGGTTGCTGGGACAGAGGACAAAGGGAGCCTGGATCTCAGGACGCTACAGCATCCACCCCAGAAGGACCCCAGGCCACCCCTACCACTTTCTAGTCAGGCAACCAAGACCTTAATTGGGGTGGTGCCAAGTTCAAGGTCACATATTGAGAAGGTGGGGGCACCAGTTTGGGCCAATCCCAGTATGACCTTCCCCTCCCTGACCCCCATCCCTAAAAAGCCAAGGGGCACAAGACCACTAGGTCCCCCAAGACCATCCCATCCACACACACTTTTTTGCAACAGGGAAACTGAGGTGTGTCCAAGGACTTTAGTAATATTGACACACCTCTGATGACAAAATGGAGCTGGAGAAGGGGCTACCTGCTGGGTGATCTCAGGGATGTCATCACACTCTGTGCTCCCTACCAAGGCTTAGTGGAGCTGACCAAGAGCAGGGTCTGCGCCAGCAGAAAAGGCCCAGTGAAGGCACTGGAGGCTCAGGTAGAGACAACATCTTGGAATACTCACAGAGGGGCTCTGGGACCTAGTGGAGTAATAAATTCAAGCATGGAGATCCAGCGTGGCTGACATGGGGGATATTCATCTGGGCACAGGGCAGATGATCACTCTCCACGGGTGGCAAGGGGTACCTTGCTTCTTCCGAGTCCTAAGGAAACCCTGAGGGTGGGAGCTTTTTGCCCACAGGCTCCCCTGGGATCTGACCCAGCCACACTCCCAGGAGAGAGGGATCCTAGGAAGAAGGGGGCTGCGGCAAAGGAGATGGGCAAGAAACCTGAGCTTCTATCGGGCTCAGGTCCCAGTCAGCTGTGCAACCTTAGGGAAAGCACTTAACATTTCTGAGTGGCTATCCGGCTGTCTCCTGGTATGAAGTGTAGATGAGTGATCCTCACCAAGCTTGCCTCATAGGGATGGGAGATTCGAGTCACAGACTTTTAAATCATTATTTCATCCAGCAAATGTTCCCTGATGCCTTCTCTGTATTGATTCCTAAGAAATTAGACCAGTCCTGAGCCCCAGCTGCTGACAGTCAAGAAGATCAGGGGAGTCTTAACCCTCTGATTGATAAATGAAGTTCAAAGGATGGAGAGCGAAGACATGAGGGCTCCCTGAAGGGGGCAAAACTCACAAGTCCTGAGGGACAGCAGACTGGACTGGAGAAACAGAATCAAGAGAGCACCCCAGCTGGAAGAAACAGTCCAAGAGAAGAGACTTCCACCAGATGCATCAGAGAATAAACACACAGCCTCAGACTCAAGTGGACACACATTTATTGAACACTTAATGCATACTGAACACTGGCAAATCTAAGATGGAGAGCGCTGTTCCTCCAAAGAACAGAGATCCCTCAGCCCCAGTGGCTCGCAGATTTGACTCCTTGGGGAACTTGGACAGAGAGAAATTGGTTCCAGGAGAATTTAGAAGGGAAACACCTATACAAAGTGGGAAGAGGAGAGAAGGCTGAGTAGAGGCCACACAGAGAGACAAGCAGAAACTCATTTTATTAACATCTACCACAAATGTGCTATGTTGGAGAAGGAAAGAACATGGAACAGGGAAAAATGACAAAGGAGCTTATTAGTCCCAGAGAGGGGCAATGCCTTATCCAGGGTCTGGCAGCATGGGTGCTAGGCCCCCAGACCCAGGTGAAATGTTTTTTCTTGTTTTGAGGCACTTTCAATTCACTTTATCATAACAGCCCTGAGAGAAACAGGAAGAACAGGAATTCAAAGCCTATCCACCTTACAGAAGAGGAAGGTGACAGCCCAAGATTGACACAAGCCTGAGGTCACACCAGACCAACCACGGCATCCATTCCCAGCCTCAGCTTCCTGGGGTCAGGATAAGACTTCCTTGTGGTGCAGAACCCTCTCAGATGCACCCCACCATCTTGGAGAGAGTCCTGGGCAAGGACCCTGGGGCCAGGTTTCTAGGCTAAACCCTGAAACTTTGACAGGGGCCTTGGGGCCCCTTTGGCCTATTTCCCCATTTGTGCAATACAGAGGACATTTGCCTTATTCTCTGGCACCTGATGATTCTAAATTCTCCCCACGCCTCATTTCCCCAAATGAGGTGTCAAGCACCCCCCCAGTCAAGGGTGCCTGTGGCCATGCAACTCCTTTCCTGGGGAGCAGAAGAGGGGGTGGGCATCAGCCAATCTGAGGCCAGCCACCACAGGGCCTGGGGAAGGAGTTCCAGCCTTGGCAGTGGTCTGTGATTTCTCCGGGCCTGGAAGCAGACAAGGAAACAGATTGTTCTGTTCATTCAGTCTGTCATTTGCACTACACACTCTTCTGTGATGATAGTCCCTATACTGGAAACACAAAAGTGAAGATGACCCAGTGCCTCCTACCAAGGGAGATGTCAGAACTGGGCATGTTGCTGTGTGGGCCGGGGTTTAGGAGAGTGCTACAGCTGGGGACCCAGCCCCAATGGCATCTACTTGAGTACGTGTGCCCATGTGAGAAAAGACACCACCAGCCTGTTACCTCCACAGACCAAGGGCATGGTGCAGGGCAGGAGGAGTAGGGTCTGACTGTGCTAGCCAATCTCTGGGTCCCTATGTTTGGCATGGCTTATGCATGGGCCTGTAAGCTTGCCCTCTGAGAATGTACCCAGGAACTTGCATGGGCTCAGAAGTGTGCATATTCAAATATGTATGTCTTTATCAATTTATGGACACATGCCAGGACGCACTCAAACCTACAATCCTATGCGCACATATGAATAAGTCTGCATGGACTTGCATGAAGCACATCTGAGCTCTCATACCTGGGGGAGTTATGACAGGGGTAGGGAAAAGAGAGGGTTGGGAGGAGGGGAGAGCTGGGGGACCCCCACCATCACCAGCCCTGCCCCTTAATGTTGGTCTGTGCCCAAGACCCAGGCCACTGCAGGGTCTGCCTCTTCTCCTTAAGTGGTATTGATCCTTTTGTCGATCTGTTAAATATAACCTCAGGAAAGGAGTCAACATAATCGTCCCCAATTCAGGAGAAAGAGACTGATTCTTGGGAGGAGGGGGGAGCCTCTATCCCAAGCAGCTCTGCTGATACCCGAATGGCCTGCGGATCAAGTGTCAGCCTCTCCAGCCTGAATAATTCATGCCAAGAGCAGGAATGCTTCCTTCTCAGGAGCCTGTCTCTTTAAATCACGTTTGGAGCTTCCCAGTTCTGGGGAAAAAAAAAATCCAGAACAAAACAAATCTGTAAACAGCTCAGCCCCCACCTCAGCCCTGGCCCCTTCTAAGACCCCCCACTCCATGCTGCAAAATCTGCTCCTGTTCTCCCAACCTCTGGTGCCCCAAACCCCACTCACAGGCGGAGAAGCCTGGAGGGACTGGTTGATGGTGTCCAACGGAATCCCAGGAGTTTAAGACGTTTGGGGGCAGGGAATGAGAGCAAAGAGCAGAATCACTACACCCCCGTGTCTCTGTGCCTAGAGCAGTGCTTGGCAGAGGAGTCCAGCCCGGTGGAGGAAACCAGATGGGGGAACTCCTGGCAGAGACAGAGGAGCCAGAGTTGGTGGGTGGGAGGGGAGCGGGTGCCACAGACTTCTCCTGATGATGGAATGGGATGGGATGGTATGGAGAAAAAGCTGGTCTCACAGGACCTACAGGGGTGGTGACACAGCCGGGTCTAACGGAACTAGGGTCGCAGAGGAGAAAGCAGAGACCGGGGATTTTCCAGTCTCTCTACCTTAGGAAGAGGCTGGAAAATAAGTAACTTTCTCAGCCCACCCCTCAGCCCTTCCTTCTGTAGTAGGAGCAGCTCTAAAGTCCTCCCCAACCCCCGAATTCTCCCTGGTGGTAACCCACCTGCCCGCTCTCCGAAGGCGGGCCCCGCCCCACACGTGCTGGAGAGGGAGGAGGAAGGACCCAGCTTAAACGTGGGGGGTGGAGGAGGGGGAAACCAAGTCGGAGTCTCCAGGAGGCAAACTTCTCGGCAGCCCAGGGGGACGTGGGCCGAGAGGGTAAAGAGAAAGGGCAACAGCCGACAGCCCTGATTCTCGGGAGCCTCCCACCCCGCCTCCCACGGCGAAGAGGGAGCGGAGACTCCGCTGGGGGCGGAGGAGGAGGCCGGGAGGCGGGGAGGGGGGAAGCAAACCCTGCCCACTCGGCTCCGAGCCCGGAGCGGCCGCGGAAGTCGGAGGCCGGCTCGCAGGGCGAGGGCACCGGGGGCGGGGGGCTCCGCTCCCCGTCTGACCCCTCTCGCCCCTGGCCAGTCAGCCAATAACTACGGCTCCTCGGACTTTCGAGACAACGAACGGACCGACCGGGACTGCCAGCCGCTCCGGGTCAAGGACTCGCCCCACCCGTGCCCCCACCAGGCGCTCCCAACTCACTGGTGAGCGCGGCGGCCCGGGCGCTGGATGCGGGGGCGGCCGCGATGGCCCCGCGTGCTGGACAGCCGGGGCTCCAGGGGCTACTGCTCGTGGCGGCTGCGCTGAGCCAGCCCGCGGCACCCTGCCCCTTCCAGTGCTACTGCTTCGGCGGCCCCAAGCTGCTGCTACGCTGCGCGTCGGGCGCCGAGCTCCGCCAGCCTCCGCGGGACGTGCCGCCCGACGCGCGCAACCTCACCATCGTGGGCGCCAACCTGACGGTGCTGCGCGCGGCCGCCTTCGCCGGCGGGGATGCGGACGGGGACGGCGACCAGGCGGCGGGCGTGCGCCTGCCGCTCCTGAGCGCGCTGCGCCTCACGCACAACCACATTGAGGTGGTGGAGGACGGCGCCTTCGACGGGTTGCCCAGCCTGGCGGCGCTCGACCTCAGCCACAACCCGCTGCGCGCCTTGGGCGGTGGCGCCTTCCGCGGGCTGCCCGCGCTGCGCTCGCTGCAGCTCAACCACGCGCTGGTACGGGGCGGCCCCGCGCTGCTGGCCGCGCTGGACGCTGCGCTGGCCCCGCTGGCCGAGCTTCGCCTGCTGGGCCTGGCGGGCAACGCGCTGAGCCGTCTGCCGCCAGCCGCACTGCGCCTGGCGCGCCTGGAGCAGCTGGACGTGAGCCTCAACCGGTTGTCCGGCCTGGGCCCCGACGAGCTGCGCGCGCTGGAGCGCGATGGCGGCCTCCCCGGGCCGCGCCTGCTGCTCGCCGACAACCCCCTGCGCTGCGGCTGCGCCGCGCGCCCCCTACTGGCCTGGCTGCGCAACGCCACGGAGCGCGTGCCCGACGCGCGACGCCTGCGCTGCGCCACCCCGCGGGCGCTGCTGGACCGGCCGCTGCTGGACCTGGACGGGGCTCGGCTGCGCTGCGCGGAGAGCGGCGCCGACGCTCGCGGAGAGGAGGCGGAGGCCGCCGGCCCGGAGCTGGAAGCCTCCTACGTGTTTTTCGGGCTGGTGCTGGCGCTCATCGGCCTCATCTTCCTCATGGTGCTCTACCTAAACCGCCGCGGCATCCAGCGCTGGATGCGCAACCTGCGCGAGGCGTGCCGGGACCAGATGGAGGGCTACCACTACCGCTACGAGCAGGACGCCGACCCGCGCCGCGCGCCCGCGCCCGCCGCGCCCGCGGGCTCCCGCGCCACCTCCCCGGGCTCGGGGCTCTGAGCTGCCCCTGCCTGGCCCGAAACCGTGGAGATGAGACGCCCGCGAGCCCCGAGCTCTGAGACCTTCCCCCGACTCGGAGGCACTAAGCCGTACCCTCTCGTTCCCGCCTCCGAGAGCTCCTACCGTCAAAGACCCAGAGATAGCCGGTCCGAATACAGAAACCCCGCCCGCCCACCCTAGTTTCTGAAACCTCCCTCCTGAACCACTAAAAGTCCGTTCCCCACCTCAGGGCTCACACAGAGACTCTGTTCTTAAAGGCCAAAGCTCTGAGACTTGCCCCCAACACCCTGTGCTTGGAGCTCCTACACCCGAGACTGCCTTGACCTCCCTCGCCAGCTCGGAGCCCGCAGTCCCCTCCGGGGCTCGTGGGCCCTCCCATTCCATTCTGGACTCGAAGCACAGCACCCCCATCAGAATGGTTTTGTGGATTCTGAGCCCTTTGTCCCATCCCAGAGCTCAGAGCCCTCCATCCTGCATGGAGGCCCAACCCTGGGGCTCTGAGGATTGGGCACCCTCCCCTCATCCAAGAATATATTTCGTACCCCTGCCCCGCCGTCACCCACCCCCGCCTCTGGCTCAGGCCCTTCTCTTCCTCGGCTCAGGCGTGGGGCTCAGCTCCTAGTATGTCCCTCCCATCCCAGGGGCAAGCACATCCCATCTAGCCTTAGTGTGGAGCCGACTCTCAGCCTTTCCCACCAGGGCGCTGACCTCCCGATACTCAGTGCTGGTCCCCAGTCTCAGACAGCTCTTCACCCCGATCTAACTTTCATCCCCCTGCCCAAGCCTTAGGCTCTTGACCTCCCCCCCCCATACCCAGTGCTGGCACTCAGCATCCACCCCTGCCATTCACTAGTCAAGGTCCAGTGAGGAATCGGTCCCTGGGATGTCCTCATCCCCTTTTCCTCCCAGGACGAGCTCTTCAGTCCTGCCAGATAGGTGCAGGTGCCATGCACCCCTGGTGCATCCTGGCAGATCCTTGTGGGGAAGGAGAGAGCCTTCAGTGTGTGAAAGGGATAGTGGGGCATCGTGGCTTCAGAGAGGGGCAGGAAGTGGGCTCTGGAGGGCTGGAAGCTGCTGCCCTTCGATTTCTCCATGCTCTCTCCCATGCCTGTGGCTCTTCGCCCTTGGGGATTCCTTGCCACCACCACTACCACCACCACCTCACCCCGTATATCTTCTGGAAGAGAAGTGGGTCTTGCCTCCTGCCTCAGGCACGAGCCCTCCTGGTTCAGGGTCAGAACCTCAGCACCTTGCCTTCTCCATGATCCCAAAGCACAATTGGTGAGAGGGGGAGAGGATGCCCTCTCCCTGACTCCCCACCCTCTAGAGCAGGCAGAATGGCTGGCCTGTGCTGCGTCTGCACACAGGAAGTCACCTTCCTTTAATATATTGGCTTGAGGCCTGCCTTCCCTCCCCATACCCAGAAAATGTGGATCTCCCTTGAGCAGTTTTCTATAAAGTCTGCAATAATCTCAGATACTCTACTCTTGTTAGTGGTACCACATCATTCCTGCTGACCTTGGGGTGCTGATGGGGGTAGGAGGGGACACTCTTTGGACCTGTCTTTGGTGGGGCAGTGACCGTTGATGCGTTCTCCCAGACTGTGGGAGAAGAAATGGGCTCTGATTGCACATAGCAGGATTAAGGTTAGATACATGGAGGGACTTCCCATTGGGATGACATTGTTCCCCAAGCCAGCCTGCTTTCTATCATCGGAGGAGGGGTTATGCACAGCCAAAGTGGGATTCAACACTTCCTCTACATCATCTTTCTTCCCGTTCCTCATCTTCAGGGTGGGGATGGAGTTAGACTAACAAACATTAGCCTCAGCCAAGGCCATCCAGGAGTAAATCCAGCTATAGAGAATGAGGAGTTAATTCAGACAGGAAAGAAGAGGGATTGTTTGCTGCTTTGGGATCATCCTCTCTAATGAATTATCTGATACTCCCTTATATCCCGTGTCACGTCATGCTCTCCTGGCCAGACGGTAAGACCTGCATATTGGGTATGTGAGAGGCTGCGTGTGGGGGGTGTGGATGAAATGACTCCTTGAGATATGTGAAGCCAGGGGACCGGTGAGTTCTGGGACAGGAGGGCCTCCAGGTCCCCAGGCTGGATTGTGTTGCATTCAGGGTCATAGAGCCCTAGAACCATAGGGCAGAAGCCTAGAATTCTGGCATTTTCTAATTTTAGGGCCACATAATTCTAGAATGTGTGCCTTCTAACTACTGAAAAGGACTGCAGAGGTAATGTGGGAAGCCTCCTAAGCTGTCTCAACAGGAGGCATCATCTCGTGACGGGAGGCTCACTCCCTCCTTTCCTTTCAGTGTCTGAGGAGCCTGCCTGGGACTCTGACAGCCCCAGCTTTGCCATGGGGCCAGGAGCACCCCTTAGCCCAGGACAGCTCTTCACAAGTCAGAGACTGTGCATGTGACTCCTTGTCTTTTCCCAGCACACTCCCTATGCCTTCTCCCAGTCATTCCTCATGAGAAAGGATTAAGTCCTCTTGACACATCTGTCAATGACCTTCAAAGGGTGCCCGGCAGTCCCCCAGGACAATATAGTGATGGTCTCTCTAATGCAAGTTAGAGCTTGTTAGTTGATTTGTGATAACTATTGATTTAATACTTAGTTTAGCAGTAGCTCTCATAAAAGCCTCAAAGATTTTTGCTGACAACAATCCCATAGCTAATAGCATGTTTTATTTGCCAGGACTTACTGTAGTCTTAAGCTGCATTAGCAGAGAGCATGTCTTTGGAACTGAGGAGGTGATCTGTAAATCTGTAGATCTCCCCAGTTCCAAAGATGTATATGAGAGCTACTGCTAAGTATCAAATCAGTGGTCATCAGAAATCAACTAATTGAGCGTCTACTGTGTGCCAGTTGGCGTTTAACCTTACTACCATTCACTGATCCCCATTAAATGTCTTTTCTAGGCTGCCATGCTCCTTGCTGTCTGTCAGTGGCCTATAGCCTTATGGGGCTATCAACAAGGTCCAGGGCCCCCAGCTTCACCTCTTCTACAAACCCAGCCATTCACTCAGCCTTTACTGAATGCAACTCTGCCAGTCCTAGAGAGGCTAACAATCCAGGGAAGGAATCACATTTAATCAAGATCTGGAGAAAAGAAATCCCAGGAAATAATGAGAGCTCAGAGTAAGTGCCCTGACCCCACCTAGACAGACTTCTTAGAGGAAGTCACACTTGAACTGGGTTTTGACAGATTAGTAGAAGTTTGCTGAACAGAAAAAGATCAGAAGTACCAACTTCTGCCAAGGTCTGGAGGCAGGAAGATCTTGTTAGCCCGAGGATTGAAGGCCAGCAATGGCGGGGGGTAGGTAGGAGGATACGTATGGGGTAGAAGGGATCTAATACATTCACCACATTCTCCACTGGGAAGCACTAGAGGGACGTCTGCCCTTGGAGGAAAAGTCAGGAAGGTAGAGAGGTGTGATGGGGGGACAGGGAGCTGCACTGTGCCTCCTGCTTGTAAAGCCTGGTTGTTCCTTCCTACTGCCCATCCTTTTTGTGCCTGGCCTCATGCTGGGCACTGGAGACACAGAGAGGAATCAAACCAAAGCCATGGCCAGATGAGGGCAGCAAGAGAAGGGAAGGGGAGGGGAACCTGGAGAAGCCTTGCAGTAAAAAGTGAGATGGGGCAGCCGACTGACCCTGCCCAGACTCCCTGACACCATGCACTCCAGACTCTCTCTCAGAGGTGCCAGGGCCCCACTAAATGGCCAGCCTCCTCCTCTGATCACACACTGGGAGTGCTGCTGGAGTGTGAGGTGGGCAGAGGCCAAGAGGCCTGGGGCCTGCCTGCGGGAGCCAAATGACAGGGAGAAATCTACCTCTAGGATGTCCCCTTAAAGAGCAAGCGTGGTAAAGAACAGGAGAGGAGAGTACAGGTGTGTGTGACTGTCAGAAACGTGGGAGACGTGAAGCCAGCTGCACACCTGGAGAAACGTGGCAGACTTCCCAGGTTCTGTGACCTCATGAACACTGTGAAATTGCCTTTCAAAGACATCTCCTTGAGAAGACTTTTGCTTCCATGCCCCCTCCCCTACTCACACCCTCACACCTGGGCTGGGAACCAGGGAGGACCTAGCTAGAGTTGGGAGGACTGCGTTTGAGTCTGAACTCAGCACCTGACTTGCCATGTCACCTGGTCCTTAGCCAGAAATACCGGCTGAGACCCTACTATGTGCCGGGGTCTGGGAATTCAGCAGTGACCACAGCAGAACCAGCCCCTGTCTTCCTGGCCCAGCCTGACACTGTGGCCTCGGACACCCCTGCCTGCTTCTGGCTCCAGATTCCCTCTGTCCGGGCTGGGGCTGGACTTGTGACCTCTGGAGGCACTGCCTGCTCTCCCTGCAGTCCATCTCCTTCTTCATTAAGCTGCTGCCTGGCAGACTCTCAGCCCTAATTTATGGGTATGGCCTTTCCCAGACTAGGAGAAGTGACGGGGGCAGTTAATATTCCTGTGCTAATAATGCACTTGGCCGTCTTCTGAGTGCCCCCTCCACCCCTCACCCCTGCCTCACCACCCCCACCTGCTTCCCTCAGCACTGTCACAGGGCGATTTGCCAGGAGCTGGCCAGGCCCATGCAGACCCTCAACTAACCCTTCATTGGATAGGTGGGGAAACTGAGGCCAAAAGTATGCAGGAGCCCGTCCAGGTCACACAGGTTGTCAGGGGCAGATCCCAAGCCCAGGATGCCCCAGGGCTGTCCCTGCTCTGCCCTGGGTCTGAGCATCTGGCGGAGCCACCCCACCTCCTAACTTGCTATCTCCGCCCTGTCAGTGCATCCAGGAGCCAGCCCCAAGCCTGTGGTAGCCTGTAGATGAAAATAAGAAAGTGAGCTGTGGAGGGTTGGGAGGACTCTTCAGCCTCTGTCAGCGGCTCTGGGCAGGCCTCAGGAGCCCCATGCCAGCATCTTGCAGGCAGCAGCCCTACTGGGAGTTATGTCTATCCTCCCTGAGAGCAGAAAGGGGCTTGTATGGACCTCCAGGCTCTGAGGTCCCAGGCATTAAACTCATTCCTCCCGAGCTTCTGTCATCTGAGCACGAGGCTCACCTGGATGAACCAGATCCTGCTTCTGTTCTTGATCAAGATGGTGACCACACACACAGGACACTGATCATGGAAGCACAGGGGTCCCAGGGAGGCCCCTAACTTAGGGGATCATCCAAGCTGGCAAATTCAGGAGTGAAAGGGGCCACTGTTATTACATTGGAGCAAGAATAAACTAGGACTGGCTGGGAGCAGTGGCTCACACCTGTAATCCCAACATTTTGGGAGGCCAAGGTGGGTGGATCACCTGAGGTCCGGAGTTCGAGACCAGCCTGACCAAATGGTGAAATCCCATCTCTACTAAAAATACAAAGAATTAGCCGGGCATGGTGGCGCATGCCCACTTGGGAAGCTGAGGCAAGAGAATCACTAGAACCCTGGAGGGGAGGTTGCAGTGAGCTGAGATTGTGCCATTGCACTCTAGCCTGAGCAACCAGAGCAAAACTCTGTCTTTAAAAAAAAAAAAAGAATAAGACTGTACCAAGCTGCTGGGCCCTGGTCTTCAATGACTTTTGACAAGACCTGGAGAGAAAAGAAAAAGTACTAGACTGTTAGACTAGACCAGCAAATCTACCAGCAATAAATAACTAATATGCTCCCCTTCTTTGAACCCTATTTTCCAGCTGCACCAAACGATGGGGATGTTAGTAATGGGGCCCAGCTCTTCCATGCCCTGTGCCTTTGCTCACACGGTACCCTCTGTCTAGGATGCCTTCCCCAACACTGGGAGCACTCAAGGCAGCCCAGGAGTCCCCCAATCTTTATGACGCCACTGTCTTTCTCCTATTGCTATACCACTCAGACCTTTCTTTGTACTGACTGGTTTTCTTGCCTCTTGTCTGCACTAGAACAGAAGCTCCCACAGGACAGAGGCCAGACCTAGTCACTTTTAGGTCCCCAGTCAAGGTACATAGGGATTTGTGAACGCTCTCCCAGCCCCTGCCCCCACAGAAATACAAAACGCAGGGGAAGAGGCATCACGCAGGATGCTGTGGCCTCCCCCTCTGCAGGTTGGATGGGTGCTTCCTTTGACTCCCACAACCTCCACTTCATTAAACTGGGGTTTCAATTATATAAGATCCCAGTATGGGCCGGGCGCGGTGGCTCACGCCTGTAATCCCAGCACTTTAGGAGGCCGAGGCAGGTGGATCACGAGGTCAGGAGATCGAGACCATCCTAGCGAACACTGTGAAACCCCATCTCTACTAAAAATACAAAAAAAATTAGCCGGGCGTGGTGACAGGCGCCTGTAGTCCCAGCTTCTCGGGAGGCTGAGGCAGGAGAATGGTGTGAACCTGAGAGGTGGCGGAGCTTGCAGTGGGCCGAGATCGTGCCACCGCACTCCAGCCTGGGCGACAGAGCGAGACTCCGTCTCAAAAAAAAAAAAAAAAGATCCCAGGATGGCTGACT